CGCCTGTCTGGGCAGCCCCCACGCAGAGACTGCTCGCTTACTGAGTCGGAAGGCTCTCGCTGAGAGCATGAGTCTCGCTCTTCTCCACTCGCGGCCCGCCTTCATTGAAGGCAGCCCTGCTCTCCCGTTTCTCCTCTCTCAGCGAGCCTCAGAGAGAGAAACAGCTGAGTCAGGGAACTAAGCAACTGGTCTGAGCATTCGCATGCCGTACCCCGTGCTCGCTCTTCCCGCTGCGCTTTGATCCGCCGCAGAAGGGCAGTGAGCTGCACGCTCACTGAGACAGAATGCTCACTCTGAGTCAGGGAACTAAGCAACTGGTCTGAGCATTCGCATGCCGTACCCCGTGCTCGCTCTCCCCGCTGCGCTTCGATCCGTGTCTTACTCATGAAAATCGGCGCTCCTCTTTACATCCAGCGGCTCTATTTTTCTAGGTTGATCGAAGCGGAACGCTGTCACTGACAGCTTCAAATTGGTGTGTGTGTGTGTCGCTATGGCTGCACTCACAGAGACGGGCTGCTTTTACCACGAAAGCTCCGCTGCTGAGCCATTGGTTCGTTTTTAATCCACTGCACGAACCAATGGCCGTGCAGTTACACTGCGTTATTAAAAGGCTTCAGTCATCGGAGAAAAAGGAGTTTTTCCCAAAGCGTCTTAAACAGATGCAGTACTCGTTCCGTATCTCAGGGAACTTAGGTTACGTTAGTAACCGAGTACGTTTGTTTTCACACGGATGCTGTAAAATGTAATTGTTACGAAATATAGACATATATTACTACAATGATATTTAACACATCCATAATATTGCTGTGGATAGAAGGAGGATCTTTAGGAGTTATTCATGGTGTGTTGAAAGTAATGAAATGCTTTTACACTTTTAAATTTCCATTTAATGATCAATGGTTGAAGGATGAGTAAAATAATGTCACCTCATTGCCACCCCAGTTTTTGAAAATGCTTATTATTGAGCTCATAGAGCGATCCTTTTGCGGATTGTTTACAGTGTAAACGAAAAGCGTCATGGGCCGTAGGAAAAAGGTGAATTAAAGAAAAATGCAATTGGCTGAAGCGCTTCAATTTTCCAAGGCTTTAATAGTGAATTTAGTCTTTTTAGATTTTCATAAAATACATTGTGGATCGGTACAAAGACAAAAAAATTCTTAAGTGTAACTATTTAAACAATAGAATTGATTTTATGCGTGTGATGATAAATAATGTAGAGCCAGGTGTGAACATTTTGTGAACACAGAATAGTGTTCTTTTATGTCAGTTGCTCTGAGGTCCGATATATTGTTTGTCTCCAACCATTCTTAAATTATTTATGAACTAATTTATGTATTCACATGCATACATGAACATTTCATTGTCATTTCTTAATTCAGAGATGTTGCACAATAAAAAACGTGCTGTGTTGTGTTTAATATGTGTTCTTTATAATTAAATGGTGCAAATTAAAGTATGCTAGTTTTTATAATGTGGATAGAGTGTTTAAGGGAAAGCGTGGTGTAGGCAGACCCCAAAAAGGGAACAACCCTAAACTAAAGCCTCATGCATCACTCTCCGACAAAATGAATAGCAACCAGTGCCATAAGTGTGGTAGCTCCTCAGCTCATGCAAAGCGAGATTGTCCAGCAAATGATGTAAAATGTCACGCCTGCGGGGAAAAAAGGCCATTATAAGCGAATGTGTGCATCATCAAAAGCTGTGCGTGAAGTGTGTGAGGGTGACCCCATATTCCTGGGCAGCGTTGCAGGTCCTGGCGAACCATGGATGGTAGACATAGACATTGGTCACAAACGAGTGTCATTTAAGATCGATACAGGGGCTGATGTCACCGTCATTCCAGCAGAAATGTTCAAAGAGATTTTTAAAGAAAAATTACCTGCCCTCGGGGATGCGACGAGGCCGTTGCTTGGGCCAGTGCAAGTTCCTTTGGATGTAGTTGGAGTTGCCAGGCTTCTGCTAAAGAGAGGTGGAAAACAGTCAGAGGACGATGTGTACGTAATCAGAAATCTGCATACTGCACTTCTGGGACGACCGGCTATCTCAAAGCTTGGGCTTGTGGCACGATTAGATAGCATCGACATCGAAACACTAAAGATGAGCTACCCAAAACTGTGCAGTGGCTTGGGAGAAGTACAACAGCCATATGTGATCAGTCTGAAACCAGGAGCCACTCCATTCTCACTCAAAACCCAGAGACGGATCCCGCTACCTCTAATGGGGAAAGTTAAAGAAGAGCTGCATCGTATGGAGACATTGGGAGTAATTAGTAGAGTGGAGGAACCAACAGACTGGTGTGCCGGGATGGTTGTGGTCCCGAAGAAGTCGGGTGCTGTTCGAATATGTGTAGACCTCTCCAAGTTGAATGAGTCCGTTCGCCGAGAAAAATACATCCTGCCGTCAGTCGAACAGACACTTGGAATGTTGGCTGGTGCCCAAATTTTCAGTAAGCTAGATGCCAATATGGGATTCTGGCAGATACCGTTGTCAGAGGAGTCTGCACAGTACACGACATTCATAACTCCGTTTGGTCGCTATTTCTTCAGACGGCTTCCCTTTGGAATTACTTCTGCACCCGAACACTTCCAAAATAGAATGGCTACAGAAGTCACAGATGGGCTGGAAGGCACAGTGTGTCATATCGATGATGTGCTGGTGTGGGGGAGAACAGAGGAGGAGCATGACTCGAGACTGCATGCGGTGCTGGAGAAAATGCAAAAGGCAGGCATCACTCTCAATGTTGAGAAGTGCGAGCTGTCGAAGAGGAAAGTGCATTTCTTAGGACACTTCATTTCTGCCGAAGGAATTAGTCCTGACCCAATGAAGACTGCAGCTATCAGAAACATGACTGAGCCCTCCAATGTGAGTGAATTGAGAAGTTTCCTGGGAATGGTAAATCAGCTAGGGAGGTTCATTCCCCAACTGGCAGACAAAGATAAAGCTCTTCGCGACCTGCTGTCAAAAAAGAACTGTTGGATCTGGAGCACAGAACAGGCCAAAGCTTTTCAAACTCTAGAAAGGGGTGATGTGGGGTTATTGATGTGTAACCACAGGCTGCCACTAGATGGAGCGAGAGCGACAGGGATGGGCCAGCGAGTGGTATAACGTGACATGTAAGGTTGTCTTGAGAGTTTTCAGTAAAGCACGTAAAGACAGTTTGAATCCAGAGTCTTTATTTACAAGACACGACAAAGTGTGCTAGTTTTTTTAAGATAACTGCAAAGCAAATGTAGAACTGGATATTTTATTGAAAAACAATAATGTGAACACAAAATAATATTCACAGAAGCATCACAGAAAGCCTCCAAGACAACATTATATATAATCTCAGCACATTACACTTGAACCACAGTTATTTTGTACATTAATGTGAAGTTTTAGGGTGCTTTCACACTAGCACTTTTGGTGCGCACCCGGGTTCCGAACTGGGGTGCGCACCCGCGAACTGTAACGTTACCCGAGTCCGCTTAAAAAGGG